AAAATCTTTCAAATGAGCTTGATTTTATATGAAATGATACTACTTGATAAAACATAAGCTTGTTTGATAATTTTGAATACCATTGTGCAGGTACAAAGAACAATTTGAGTGCAAAACATTCGGGAATTGACCTATATTATCCCCTTTCGAACCCCAGGTAATTCATAACAACAAGAGCGTCTAAAAGGTTAAAATTCGAATGGGCGTAACTACTGGACTAATAATGTCTTATCAGCTTATGAGAGGGAGTCATTCATGTGTTCGTAACACTTTATAAATAGAAAGCTATAAAAGAGAGAGCGTTATTTTCATCATCAATTAACACACTCCCACAGTATTCACAGTGAAAACAATACATTTCCTCGCGCGCTTGCTGCACACCAACAGTACACACTGAGTGACCCCGGCGGCGTGCCAGGAATGTCCGACGTAATCGGTAGCTGATAAGATTCGCATCTCAGCACAGACGCAGAACAAGAGATAATTATTGATTTCAAATTTTAAAATGGTATCCACATCCCATCAAAATTGTATAATCGCCTCTTACAGGAACCAAAGTTGAAAAATACACAAATAAACATTACAAATGTATTCTACAAACCTGAAAATTTGAGTATATATATATAATATGTTGATATTTATTTGTGTGGCCCCAAAGACAAATGAACTGCGCACTTGTGGTCTAATTTGCTGCAATTACCAGGCAAGCCCCCAGCACGTGAAAGGAGTGAACAAACTCAGTGTAGCTTACATCCAGTGAGTGTAGGATAATAAATAAGGGCGCATGGGGAGTAGCCTATACAAACAGACGCGAAATTTGAACCGGCCTTCCGAGCCGCGACTTAAATCTAGGCTGAGCAGGGATCGACGCTACTGGTGGGTCTATGCAGTGGAAGGAGCTCCGGACCTGTAAGATCCCACACACATTGTGGTGCTTTTTCGATAGTTCCCACTATGGATGGGCAGGTACTGGTACCCAGTACCGAAACTCCCGGTTCTACCAAAGGAGGTGTCAGTACCGGCTCTGGGAAGGAGCCGACACCAACGGTTAGTACTGGCTCTGGGAAGGAGCCGACACCTAGACGCTCAGCAGAGACCGACACCAGCGGTTTTTTAACCGGGCCACGGGAAGTGTGTTGTGTGTACGCCTAGGCCTTGGCCTTGCAGCTGTGACGTCAGATGCACACGCAGCGGGTGACCTTGATACAGGACTTCAGATTTAAAATTGACAATCAGAAACGAAGTTTGCTAAAATTTAAATATATGGCATCAAATCAGGTCCCCCGCGAGCCACTACGAGTATTTTGATACGCTGATTCCGAAAGAATATGAAATCAAATTTTTCGCGGCGATAATTATTTTTAAAATTCTGCATGCAGTCTTCCCGCGCGGCGGCAAACTTCAAAGGTATTTTGCGTCACAGTTCGTCTCTCAAATTCTGATGTGTGTACGTGTGTGTGTGTGTGTGTGTGTGTGGGGGGGGATGCGGGCGGCGCTGATCGTGGTGTGAGACGCAAGACGTGAAGTCTGTGACGTCGCCTACTGATGTCACTCCCAGTACCGGTACTCTCAGTTCTCGGCACCCAGTACCGAAAAAGTGTCGACACTGGGTTTCGCCGGTACCGCCCAACACTAGTTCCCACCCCCCTTATTTGAGCCTAGAACTACATCTAGATCTATACTATACGTTTGATGCGCACCGAGCTAAGATATCAAACCTAACAACTGCAAAACATCAAATTATGGTAAAATTCAAGGGGGCAAGCCCCGGCGAATAAGAATTGCGGGGTGGGAATTACTCAAAAAGCACCCACATTGTGGTACTTTTTCGGTAGTTCCCACCCCCTTTATTTGAGCCTAAATTCTAGATCTATAGTCTATACGTTTGATGCGCGGCGAGCTAAATCAAACCTAACACTAACAACGTCAACAGCAAAACATCAAATTATTGTAAAATTCAGGGGGGGCATGTCCCCCTGAAACCCCCGGCAAATATTTATCGAAGTGACTATTTCTCCGAATGTTCGGAGAAATAGTGCCGATCTTTATTTCTCCGAATGGTTTCCGGCTTCCGGTCTCGTGATTTTTTGCCTATTTATTGCGAGAGTTCGGCGGCAACTTTCATTCTGCCTCTGGTCTGGGAAGGAACACCGCATGGCAAGCCCGCCTACAGACAACCTTCAGTAACACCCACCACCATCATGCACATGTACACACACTAACTAAACATGACCAGTGGGCAACTTTTAAACGTATGACGAGCTGAGCTGTGGATGGAGAGACAGTGTGAGTGAAAGAGCGGGTGAAAGGAAGAATGTGCGAGTGTATCCACAGGTGACAGCAACTACAAGACGACACCGACACCCCCCCCCCCCCCCCCCCGATCCACAGCTCACGAACGAAAGGAATGCAGCTCAGGCAGTGTTTTGCCTATATTATTGTCCATGATTCAAAGGGTGCAAGGAAATGAGTGAGGTTTTCTTTGTGTGTGCCTGAAGGGAGAGGGTGGGGTATGAAAGTCATGCGGACGGGATGAGCCGCGGGAGAGAACACAGGAATTGAAAGAATGAGTGAAACTGAAAGAGATGAACGAATCATGAGCCCTTGAGTGAATGGATCCTGTGTTTCTATTTTTGTATACTTTGAACTGTTATTGAATAAAGGCTGAAATAAAGCCCGAAAAACAAACACACACACACACTCCTCACTCTCCACTTACTACCACACACAGACACACTCACACACGCACATACATACACACACACACACACACACAGGGGCAAATTTTTGGGTCTATATCTATTTCAATTTTCAAAAGCTAGTCTAGAGATTTTTAGATGAGTGTAAAAACGTGAAAAAGAAAGGTTTCACAACAGAAAGAAATCAAAATTAGAACAGCCCATAGACCTGAGTCGGACAGCAGCGACAGCGATGAGATTGAAGATTCGCAAAGAGGGGCGTGTGTGCAGCGTTTTTTTTCTTTTTTTCATTGTGAGTGATTTCACCAAAAGTGCGACAACTTTGTATATACTTGACCATTGTGCATGAAACTTGGCCCAGTTAGAGACAATTGGATATACTTCAGTATGATTAAGTCATGAAGTGATTGGATTTAGCAGCTATACACTGTGAGAAATGTAAGTTGGAAATATTTTGTTTATTTGTTTATTTTTTTCACCTTGTGTTCACTTACCTCCCATGTTTGTTTGGATTTATGATTTTTTTCAATTTTTTTATTAGATTAAAAATATTCTACATTCAATAACCTTCATTTTGGTATATAACATGTCTGACTTCCCGATGGAATTATGCCCATCAGACACAAAAGAAGAACAGGGGTACTTCTGAAATTCTAAGACTAAGAAATGCCTTGGTCACAGCGCGGAAAACGCCTTGGTAGTCAAAGAGTTAAGAGCAGCACCCTTCATAGGCAACACGTCATATCTGTAGCGAAAAACTGTTTGGAATTGTAGCATTTCTTTATATAAATATTTACTGCGGACATTTTTTGGACCGATTGAACCATATTGTATACGAACAATCTTTGGTAGGCCTATACTATAATTATAGATCTAGATTTAGATCTATATAACATCCGAAATTTGCGGGAAAGGATGAGATTTCACAGTGTTCGGAGAAATAGTGCCCAGCTTTATTTTCCCGAACGTTCAGAGAAATAGTGCCCAGCTTTATTTTCCCGAACGTTCAGAGAAATTGTGCCGGCCAATATTTATTGGGTCAGGGGGGCAACCCCCCTACTCTTGGGGGCCAAAACTGGCGAATAAAAGTTGCGAGGTGGGAACTACTGAAAAAGCGCCCACATTACATTGTTCCCCGCTCAAAACTGTAAGAAGTATTGATGAACACAACGTAGAAGATAGGCTAACGAGTAGAATCTAGGGCTAGATTCTAGATCTAGATCTTGATTTAGATATAGCCACTTATCATCTCTTTACAGCACTAGATCTAGATCTTCATCTAGAATCTAGATCTAGGCTAGATTCTAGATCTAGATCTAGATCTATATTTAGATATCTAGATCTAGTCTAGATCTAGATTAGAATCTAGAATCTAGATCTAGAATCCGAAAAGGAAGTGGCTATTCTCATCCGGGGTGAGAATAGAAATACGATCGACCTCTCACCACGGGTGAGACTTGCCACCGTAGGCTGCTATTCTCACCCTGTGTGAAACAAGACCTGTTTTTCCTAATTTCGGAATACTTTCTATCGATGTGGATGATCAAATGGATAAGGCAAAGAAAAGATTACATTATAGCACAAAAGTAAGCTAATTTTATCGACTACAAAGATGCTATGGCTATTTCACTTTTCGAATCGAGCCGAACTACGGGGGTCGCCATTTTGTTTTGCCCGGAAGTTCTCGCAAGATCTACTCCTCCCCTCTTCTCTCTCTCTAGATCTAGATTCTATCTCTTTCTGAATAATGTCTATTGGTGTGGACGATCAAATTGACCAAAACAAAGTTAAAAAATGACGTTAAAACACAAAAGTAAATTAATTTGGTCGTCTACAAAGATGCTACGGCTATTTAACTTTTCGAATCGAGCAGAACTACTACGCGGGTCGCCATTTTGTTTTGCCCGGAAGTTCTCGCGTTACTCCTCTCTCTCTCTCTCCACTGCCCACAGACAAAATTGTACGCTTTTAGTAGGCTAACAGTTGTAATGGAACGTTTGTTCACGGCACAGAATTCTACAATTTTTCTGTTATCACAGTCACAGTGTAGAATTTTGTGGTTTAGGCCATTTTTTAGCCTAAAGGGTGAACGCAAAATTGGTTGGCCTAGATCTAGATCTAGGCTATAACGGTGAACGCGCACCGGGTGAGAATAGCCAAAAGACTCGCCTGCACTATTCTCACCCGGGGTGAGAATAGCCAAAAGACTCGCCTGCACTATTCTCACCCCGGAGGTGGCCATCCAAAAAATATTGTGTAGCGAAAGAGAGAAAAAGGAAAGCACCAGTTTCAGACAGTCACCTCGTTTACTGCAATGTCCTTTTCACTTTCCGTCATTTTCCGCCTTGGGGTCGACCTGGTGAAAAGCTTATATCACAGGAGAAGTAGGATATATTGAGAGGTTGAAATCCACACTTGGGCCTATCGATTTTGTTACTTTTGTGAGCCTTGATCTGCCTCACCAAAACATTATTGTTTAGATCTTGTGTTTCCGGTTTGAACGATAGCAAAACTTGCCAGCGAATAGAAAACTAGTCGAGACTCGAGAGTTCGTTTTTGACATAGGTGCCAGGCTGTACGACAAATTAATGAACCAGTAACGTCCAATTAATTTCTTTTTTTTTTTGGAATGATTGAGTTGAGTTCAAATATTTAAGACAATTTGTTTCAATTTGTTGCCTAAATACAGTTTTTCCATCCAAATGCAAAAATATCATATTTCTTAACCGGTCTCATTTTCCCGAAAAGAATAGTCGATGGTCGAGGCCTATGCTAATTGAATAATTGAAAAAAAAGGGGTTTCACTTTGCTAATGTCAAAATCTGGATATTCTTTCTGTTTCCGGTGTGTTGATACTGAAGCTTTTATTATGATGGCTGGTTACTGGTTACTGACTTCGCTGACTTGCCTTCAAGCTCCTGATGTTGTGCAAATGGCCATGGTCCTTTGCGAATTGTCTTAGTCTTACAGCTATGACCATGGTTATTGTCACGGAAAGAATAAGCATGAATACTAGATTCACAAACGGTTGGGAAGCAAATACTTGCTTTTGTTGAACCGAAGTCCTAAGAAGTTCACGACAGTGACAGAGGTTCGGTTGGCGGAGTAACGAGTAAGAATTGGAATTGGTGGGATTTAAATCTAGAATCTAGATTAGATCTAGAAATCAAGATCTATATCTAGATCTAGATCTAGATCTAGATTCTAGATCTAAATAATACGCCTTGTCTTTAAACTTAACACATGAACTTAGCTGCAGCAGGCACTCCTGTGTACCGTTTGCACTAAATCACACTACTAGATTCTAGATCTAGATCTAGATTCTAGGTAACTTGGCTAGATCTAGGCCTAGCACAGAGTCCTGAATTGAATATTTAGTCGGTTTCAATTTTTATGCTTTATCAGTAGATCTAGCCTACAAAATGAGCAGCAGTAAAATTTCATTTGTTTTTAACAAGGCAAAGGGGGTTTCATGGGGACTGACCAAAGAAAAAAAACATGGGGTGTTTAAGGGGGGGCATGTTGACTGTGATTTAATGTTTTGCAATTGAAAGTGGCTATTCTCACCCGCCGGAAGTTCTCGCAAGATCAACTCCTCCCCTCTTCTCTCTCTCTCTGTTTCTTTCTGAATACTGTCTATCGGTGTGGACGATCAAATTGACCAAAACAAAGTTAAAAAATTATGTTAAAACACAAAAGTAAATTAATTTGGTTGTCTACAAAGATGCTACGGCTATTTAACTTTTCGAATCGAGCCGAACTACGCGGGTCGCCATTTTGTTTTGCCCGGAAATTCTCGCGCTACTCCTCTCTCTCTTTCTCTCTCTCTCTCCACTGCCCACAGACAAAATTGTACGCTTTTAGTAGGCTACAGTTGTAATGGAACGTTTGTTCACGGCACAGAATTCTACAATTTTTCTGTTATCACAGTGTAGAATTCTGTGGTTTAGGGTGAACGCAAAATTTGGTGAACGCGCACCGGGTGAGAATAGCCACAAGACTCGCCTGCACTATTCTCACTTGCAATTAGTGTAGGTTTGATAGGCTATCTCTCCATAGGCCTATCGGCACGTGCATAATAAAGTAATCGTTTGGAACCAGAAGTAATCGTCGGAGGGGTCAGAACCAGTATCCCCAAACGGGACCGCAATTGTACAGGAGTGCCCTTCGGCGTTTACCTAGCACACCTCTGTGATTGGCGCAAATATAGATGATGTATTTCCGCCATCTATTTTTGTCGTCTTCCTGGGCTTCCCTTGCCAGTTGACTAGATCTCATCGTGGCAGGCCCCACTTTGCCGATTAGCGCGTGATGGGCTACATCACTAGATAGGTTTCATCGTCGACTGCTTGTTGGGCTGTGCGTGTGCATGCGCTTGTGTGTGTGTGTGTGTGTACAACTTTGAGGAGAAGGTAAAGTTATGGAACAAGAATTACTGAGATTGCTTATAACAGATGACGTAAATTAATTTTTAAAAGCCAAACTCGGCTCTCGTGGGCTAGAGGTTAAGGTGTTAGAGTTCTCTCATTCAAAGGTCCCGGGTTGGAGTCCGGGTAGCGACGGAAAACTTTTCTTCTCTAAAATTGTCTCCTTTCACCTCCTTTCCTGCTCTTTAGCCTTATTCTGTCGTCTATTTTCATCTTCACTTTCTGCCCCCAACCCGTCACCTCCTTTGCCCCCTCCTCTGGGCTCCTGACCATTTCTGCAGCCTCTCTACTGCTTCTCCTTGGCTCCGTCTTACTGCTTTCTTTCAGCCACACCCCTGATCTTCTGATAGGAAAGATCTACACCCAGCCTTCTTGGACAAGGGCAAAAAATCTTGGAGGTCCCGTGTGTGCAAGTTGCGCACATTAGAGATCCCTTGGTGGTCCAAAAGGGATAAGAGTAGGCTTCGGCCGCCACCCGGGCAAAATTCAAAATTTCCTACCTACTGAAAATGGTTGGTGAGTCCCGCGCGCTCGTATATGACCTTTTATGCAGTTGCGAGCGCCATAAAACACTTACCCTCCAAAAAAGAAAAAAAAAAACACAGCGAGATCTAGTCAACTGTCACTGGCAGGGAAACCCACCAAGAGTGGAAGACAACAAAAATCGATGGTGGAAATATGTCATCTATATTCGGGCCTGTCACAGAGGTGTGCTAAGTGCTCGCTGCAGCTTCATGTAAATTAAACTGTAATATTAATGATTCTAGACTAGTCGAGTTGTGATGTCCCGGTCCAGGGCGGTCATTTTGGCAAAACCTGTCAGGGAATCTCCGGATTGGGCGCTTTTTTGCCGGTTTTGGCCCCAAGAGTAGGCTAGGGGGGGGCGGGGGGGGGGGGGGGGGTGCCCTATTTGTGAACCTAATTAGACTTTAATTTTCGTAATAATTGTTCATTTACTTTTAAACATTGTTTTATGTTATTATCTAAAGCTAATAATTACAAAGATCACTTTTTAGAATACATGCCTTTTTTCTAAAACTAAAATACTGCTGTATTAGCTGGGACTGGGGTTAGGGAGTGCACAAAACTGGCTGGGGCTGGAAAGGTTTTAAACCCCTTCATGACACAAGGTCAGTTCAAACTTTAGCAGGCACAGTTTTGGATCACCAGAGACAAAAGAGTAGTGAGCACTAGATTTACTTAGGGGTCAGTCATTAATTAGACATGGTTTGTAAATGGTCACCCTAGCGCAATTGTAGGCTTCTCACCCAGGGTGAGAGGGCAAATCTTTTGGCTATTCTTTCCCAGTGTGCGTTCTCCGCTCCTGGTGAGAGGGTGAGCCTTTTGGCTATTCTCATCTTGTGTGCGTTCACCGTGATACCAGTGTAAACAAATGTTCCAGTGCTCTTGTGTTGAAAGTGAGCAATTTTGCCTGCGGGCAGTGAGAGAGAAGAGTAGTGAGAACTTCCAGGCAAAACAAAATGGCGACCGGCTTAGTTCGGCTCGATTCGAAAAATGGAATAGCTGTAGCATCTTTTTAGACGACCAAATTAGTATACTTTTGTGCTTTAACATAATTTTTTTCTTTGTTTTTGTCAATTTGATCATCCACACCGATAGACAGTATTCAGAAATGAGGAAAAACAGGTCTTGTTTCACTCCTGGTGAGAATAGCCAACGCTGGCAAGTCTCACTTGGAGTGAGAGATCTAACGTATTTCTATTCTCTCCCGCATTGAGAATAGCCACTTCCTTTATAATTTATAAATACTACTAATTACTATATAGATCTCTTAAAGGAAATGATGTCCTTGTACGGAAAGAGGAAAGATAAACATCTTTACTTCAGAGAATCCGATTTCCTAGATGAATCTGGTAGAGTGGTCTCCGCCTAAAAGCACGCCATACAAAAGTACGCTCCGCTCAAACACACGCTTTCGCCATCTGACGGGTTTTTTACAATATAATTTAGACGTACAAATGCACGGTCACTCCCTCTAAACGCACGCTCCGATCCACGAAACACGCCGACAAGTTAAGCTTGGCAAGGGGAAATTTTCACTACAATCTGCACAGCCTGCATAAGACAAGCTTAGAATTTACTAGAAAACAGGATATTTGGTGAGAGTGGGGGTTTGAGGCGACTGAAATGTTTTTTGATTGGTCACTGGAAATGTATCTTTGAGAGAAGGTTTCTGACTGGTGTTTGAATGACTGCATGTAATGTTTAGTTAAATCTAGGCCTGATGCACGACACGCGCGGATGCCGTAAAACACTAGACAGGCCTGTATAGGATTTTAAAGATTAGCCAAGTAAGCCTGATCAGCTTCACTCGAAGAACTTAATACGTACTTCACGGCTGTTACCGACCGCCAACTTAGTCAAACCGCCAGCCCGCGGCACTCCCCGTAACCCGATACTCTGTGACCCTGGTCACCGGGTCATCGCCGCCGGTTCACTGCCGATGCCGAGTTCCGGTTGTTTTCTTATCACTCGATGTTTTTTAAGCGTATAAATTGAGGCAGTAAACAAAAACTATTCTAGTGATCTCACAGAAAATCACATACACAGAACGATCAATATAGTGTGGGCACGTAGAAGCGATCGTGAAACTGTACTGGCTACTGTTACAGACATACGGATGCCATAAAACTGTATAGTAATTATGTAAAGTTGTTAAGGGGTTTGATGTTTTAAGTAAAAATTGAACATGATCTTTGCTTTTGATTTTGACAAAATTAAGGAAATATGATGAAAATAGGATAAAGTAAACACTCACGTGGTGGCATTATTGTACGCTCCGTCAAAGCAAAGATATTGAAGCTTGAATGCAGAATCACAGAAAATTAGGATCCTTGATAAATATCATCACAGTGCACTTACTACTCATTTACACATGTACATATATATAGGCCTACACCTGAAACTGGGGAAATTCGTCAGTCCGGCGTCGTTTTCCTCCGTTGTGACTGGTGGTATAAATGCCAACAGTTCTAGAGAGCTCTGAAGGTGCTGTGATCTCATGATCACCTTCAGCTGTCGTTCTTTATTTTGATGGATGTTGCTCGTCTGTGTAGTTTGGCCACAGAAGAGTGAATGAGCTCTCCCCCTTGCTCACCATGGAATGCCATACCAAAACCATTTTTCTGTATCCATGGGACGCAGTGTTTCTCTAGAATATGTTGTTTGGGTATGACTTTATTGTTGAAATTCTTTCTATACAATGACATATATTTTGCAACACATGACTGAATTTGTTTGATTTTGTTGTATGGTATCGGGTTGGTATGAGATATAAAGAGGTGAACATCCCTAAAGGCATTGTTCAGCTCATTGAATGTGTCCCTCAAAATAAATGCTGTGTCTAGAATATCTGTTCTGTGTGTGCACTCCTGAGTTTTCTTGACTATGAATAATGTTAGGTCTCTGTACACTTTAGCGGTGATGTATTTGTGACAGTGGTTGCCGATGAAAGAACGGCTGTGGTATGCCTGCGGTGTGATGTTCTGTTTGTCTAAAATAGTGTCAAGATGTGAACAGATGGGTCCGGACAGAGGGCTGAGAGGTTCAAAGTCAAGGTCAGATAACTCATCTTGCTTTTCAGATAATTCTTTTTCAAAATTTTCTCTTTGGTCTGGAGTATTCGAAAAAACAATGGAGCCCTCGAGGAGTTCAATTTCTTTTTTCAGCTCCTCAGCCCTATTCCACTTGTTGCCATGAGCACGCAGCGATGCAGACGCGTCCTTGCAATCATTTTTGGATTGCAAACACAGCTGCATATCTATTTCATGCGCTGCGTTCTCAAGTAGGCGATGATGCTTTACCACAATTCCCCAAAGAATGTGTAGATATGGAGGCGCAGCTTCACTTGGCTCCACCTCAATCATTGGAGGATGGAGACTATTGTGAAACCGCTGCACATTTTTCTTTTGGCCTTTGCCATACTTCTTGAAACGTCTGTGGTCCCGTTTTAAAGTGGCTAAAGTACGAGGTAGAGAATCTCTTCTCTGCCCTGTCTTAATGTAGGACTTTGGCACGTGGCACCACAAACATGGATAGGTACCCTGAGCACCAGACAGTCCATATAATTTCACAAGAAAGTCATAATCACCAAACAAAAAGAGAACTATTTTCTTACCGTCCCATTCTAGTTTGGAAAGTTCATCAAGTTGAGGT